TGAGAGGGGTGGAAATAAAGCCCCGAAAACAAACAGTTTGGGAGCGATGTGATAACAAACTACATATTGTTGGAAAGAAAGCTTTTCAACTGCTATTGTGTGATTGATTTGGTCAAAAGCTTTGCTAAAGTCTACTGCACATAAATTTACAAATTTACCAGCCTTATCAAGGCCATTGTGAATAGTATCAAGCATGCTAATGAGATAATGGTCAGTGGAGCTACCTTTCATATTCCCAAATTGTTGTGTATCAATAGCCAGTCTAATGTCCCTCATAATCCAGTCTGCCAAGAAACCTTCAAAGATTCGGGCTATCACAGAGGTTATGGAGATAGGGTGAAGTTGGTCGAAACTGGTGACTCGGGTTGTTTTAGGAACAGGGCAAACTGAAGCATTTTTCCAAATATTTGGAAAAATCCCAGAACTGAGACAAGAGTTGAAAATAATGGTAAGTGGGTTAGACAGTTCAAATGCAAATTCCTTCAAAAGTCTTGTGGGACAGTCATCAGGATGAGAGGCTTTGGATGTGTTCAGCTTACCAAGAGGAGTGTATATCTGATTCCGGTGTATTACAGGTACAGGCGGTGCTGGCAGGTATGGGGTTAATGTAGAAGTGTCAAGTGGAGGAAGCCTTGAACATATCTCAGCAAAATGGGAATTGATCTCGTTGGCTACCTGTAGGGGTGGATTGTTGCATCCAGGAAGGCATAAAGGTCGTTTAGTTAGCCCTGTCAAATGACGGATCTGCTGGTGCCACTATTTCCTGGTTTGGATTGTTTCAAGTGCTCTATTTTACGACTGTAAAATTGTGTTTTGCCAGATCTAATCATCCATTGGACTCTATTCCTTAAATTTCTATAAGTACCATCTCCTTTTTTAAAGGCTCTATCACGTTGCATTATTAGCCTACGTACATGTAAGTGATTGTTTATCCAAGGTTTGTCATTTTGGCGCCGTTTAAAGCTGACAAGTTTAAAATGTTGTCGGTATCGGCCATTGATTAGTTGTCAAAAATGCTCAGTCCTGCGGTCAGGGTTTTCATTGAACTCATATAACACTGACCAGTCCATTTGCGTTATCCATTGCCCAAACTCACGGATGGATGAATCATGAAAAGGTCGAAATGAGATTGTAGATGGTTCTATTGGGGCAATAGTACGAAAGGGGAGAACCGTTATCACCGAATGGTCACTGGATGAGATTGGAGCTGAGATGACTGGATCTAAGTAGCTATCATGAAGATCGGTTAAAATTTTGTCCAGAATCGAGTTACCTCGGGTGGGTTGTTTGACGATTGGTACCAATGCAGTGTGTCGCTCAATCAGGTGTGTTGGGAGGTAATTGAAGTCACCCATAATGATAAAGGAGGCATGTTCATTTGTCAGTCGGATGTTGTCAACCATAGTAATGATGTGGTCGTGGAGTTAATCCTTGTACTGTGACTGAGGCGGCGAGTATAAGACACAAACATAAATGTTTCTCATCAGCCGAGTAGACCTTGATGATGTCAGGTTAACCCATAAGACTTTATGGGGAGGAACGATGTCGGCAAAAAGTTCCCTTGCATTAATGCTGTCACGAATGTAGAGAGCAACACCCCCACTGATGCGTTCGTCACGGTCGCGGTGGAATTGTTGAAATGACAACAGTTTGCATGCAGAGGCAGGGTTTGTAGCAGAAAACCAGGTTTCAGTAACTGCGATAACATGGATGTTGTTGTTCTGTGAGATGAGTGTGGCTTCAAAGTCATTGAATTTGTTGCTCAGTGATCGGGCATTGAACAACATCACGGATGGTAAACATGGTTGGATATTCAGTGTTCAGGTGTTAATGAGCACTGATCTATTAATCTGACGGGGATTAGACAGTCCAAATCTTGGTCTAGTCGATTGCACAACAGGAATGTGAGACTGCAGGTGACTATCGTTATGTTCATTTGCATGAGTTCGGCGACCTGCTCTTTTTCCTCTGTATCGAAGTAAGCCATTGTTTTTGAGTAATGAAGAGTTTCATGGCTAAGGAAGGTGCGAGCCAGTCTGCGGTATGCAAATAGTTGATCACGAGAATATGTGATACAGTGACTGTTATGCAGATCAATTAACTCAACAGGCTCAATATTACAAGGTCGGGGGTTAATCGAAATATCCATGAATATAGTGATATCTGTTGGGGGGTCACATCCAGGTACAAGCAAGCATGTTTGTCCCCGTTTGGTCCATTTCATTATAGGAATTCTTGTAGGATGAAAACCGATTGGGCATAAACCCAGAGTTCGTTTGGGGTGATGTATACAAATTGGAGGTTGTACATACCAGGGTTGAAAGGCACTGAATGGACTGGTGAAATGTCTTTGTGGTAATGCTCCATTGTCAATCTTATTAAAGATGGAGATCCTTGAAGAAGTTCCAAGGCAAATATATAGTAGCACAACTAGTCGCACAGAAAAGGCAGCCATGATGTGTTCACAATTTCACTCACATGGGTGGCTGGAAACTCACTCGAAAAGCTTGCATTTCCGAGATAAAACTACTGTCAAAGTTACTCAGAAGATCTCATAAAGTCCTCAGTAGAAATGTGGTTGTAAAAACTAGGATGGATGATGACAAAAACAGGTGATAAAACTCGATTAAAAATCAGAAGCTACGGTGCAAAATTTTAAGATATGGCAGCTATAAACAGCGCCCTCTATAATTGAATATTTTTATGTAAGAACAAAGGATCACGAAATTAAATCCTTTACAGTACAATCAGTTATTTTGTGATAAAATTCAGTAAACATTCTATGTACACATTTAAGTTATTTCTGGCTTGATGATATCATTATTCAAAAACGGGAAGTGAATACTGATTTAGTTCGGAGAGTATACATGTTCATTGTGCAGAAGTTAAATAATGTATGAAAATATGAAAAATGTAAGTGTACATGCATTCATAACATCTAACTTCCGGTTTGATATCACAGTATTTGGAAGCAAAAAATGAACATTGTAATGGATATTGTTATTTGGGCTACGAAGATATTCGACATGGATCGAATGATATAAAATAGACTGAAAATGCGGGTAGTTTTCAAATTCTCAAGTAACTTCCGGTCTGATGACTTCATGAATTTGAAACCTTGCCAAGTTATTTGTGGTTATTCAAAGAATATCACAGGGCAATTTGATAAAATTTGAACAGATGGTTTTCAAATTAAAGAAAGCAAACACTGTTTTATGTGCCGCTAGGGGCGCCCTTTTGAAAGATGACGTCATCACACTGCGTTTTTGTCTTGCATTCCTCATTGAACACTTTCATAATTTATATGTGTGTGGTAAAATGGTTTCGCTTTTGAGTTATATTCGGTTTTTATTGCACTTCCGGTAACACCGGAAGTGAAGGTCAAGCGGTTTTGTGTCCGGGAACAAGAAATGTTTCTCACGGCATAGTCTACAACCTCACGAAAAAAATGAACACGATTCTCCATTTAGTTCAAAAGATAATGGGCAAACTATTTTCTCAAAATTTGCCCTTAAATCGCTTGTAATCTGATAAATATGATGACGTCATGATGACGTAACAAAGTTTATAACATCTTTGTTACATGATACGAGTTCACACTAAGTTTTATGATCATACCGTAAACCGTTTGGAAGAAATTTTGCTTTGTTTTGATTTCAGGCTTAAGTCTTCGTTTTGAATTGACCTAACTTTGACCTTCCAGTAGACCCGGAAGTAAAGGGCAAGCGAGTTCACATACACGACATAAAATGTATATCAATTAATGGTTTATCTGACTACATGTACAAGGTTGGAAAATAATTGATAATTTTGTTCAAGAGTAATATACGTGAAAGAATATCATCATTTTTTCAACGAAAATCGCTTGTAATTTGACACCTGATGACGTCATCATGACGTCATCATGACGTCAGAGTAATATGCACCACTAGGGATGAGGGTCGATATATGTTGAAAGTTACAAGTTCATACCATATACAGTTTAGGAGAAAACCAGCGGAGAAGTATTGTCCAGAAAAAAAAGAAAGATTTATCAGAACAATAACAGAGAGTGGTCGGGTTGTGCCCGACCACTCAAAGAAAGAAAGATTAATCGTAACAACTCCAAAGAGTGGTCAGGTTGTGCCCGACCACTCAATTAGAGCTATACGCATGTGAATGAATTGCCAAGTTTTGCCTCATACAAATTAACTACAATCTGCAAGGATTGGAAATAACAAAAATGAAAGCGCGATTTTTACTTGGATCTCCTGAAAACTTTTTCTCTACAACATTGCTTTTCCGTTGAGGGCATGTGTGACGTCACTATTGAAGAAAAACAAGTCATGCTTAATCAATGACTGTTTTATGTTATGGTACTGGTATGTGCCCCGCGCCAAAAGCCCATACTGTCATACGGCGAGGGACACATGTCACTACACATTCAGCGAACTTATTTTTCTTCGATCACCGACGGTGACGTCACACACGCCCTCAAGGGAAGAGCAATGAAATGGATGGAACAACTCGACAGATACATTTAATTGTGAGCAGTAAGTTTATCAGAAAATTTTGGGTTTTTTCCAAAATTGCCACTTGTTGGGATTAAGAGGTCTTATGGAATGTCAATTTCATGTCTATGTATTCTATGTGCCCTTATCTACGGGAATGGTGGGTTGAAAACTTCCATAAGCCAAGGAGGACAAAATAATCCAGGAAAATAAGCTCCAAAACTACTTCAAGTTGTGTCATGGTTGTAGACTAATTTCATCCGCTAAACAGAGTTCGTACACTGTGCGTATATGCAAACCTAGATTTTATCTGTGCTTCGTGTAACGCAATACTTACTGTATCAGTTTGATTAATTACAATGTAAAGGAGCTTTAAATACCAGTGCAAGTTTGTAGCTTTGTACGTTATTTTGTCAAATTGCCTATCATCTTTTCAAGTGAGTACTGGGATACATGTCAGGCTGTAAATGGATTTTTTTTTACATCTTGAAGTTTCCTTTTAAATTTCAGGAAGTCTGAGTGCTGTATACATTCAAACGTGTCAAAAGTGCCAAAACATGAGCAGTAGGCTGAGTACAAAGCCCTCCAGGAAGGACAGACCTCGCTCTAGTGGTAAGTATAGCTAAAATGGTTCAAGTTAAAATGGTCGCTCACCGTGGGGCGGGGGGGGGGGGGGAGGCCATATAGCGTACGGATTAGGTTGGACCATGGAGCTACGCATAGCTGCCAACTATTATGAATTTTTTGTAATTATTACAAATTGTTTTGTTAAATTATTAAAATACGAATTGCCACCAAAAAATTACGAATTTCCCAATTTCGCAAAAAAACCAACACTTGTTAAGTATCGTTTTTGTGAATATTCAGATAAAATCACGTACACTGATCGTCAAAATAAAAATCAATACCAGTACCGAATATTTTTGTACATGTAGTCATGGTTGTATACTTTAAAAAGATGTTTTGACTAACCGAAAAGATTTGTAGTTCTCGAATAGTAAGAATTGATATTTTGTCAATAGGGGTTCCAACCTGTGCAATGTTGTAATGGGTAATAAGAGGAACTAGTTACGAGTGAGACTCGCATTTCAAGATGGCGCCCAAAAGATTGCCATGTGAGTCCGAAGTTTTCATCATGTTTGTAGTACATGTATTCACGAAACATTTTTCGAACTTTATGTGACATCATCATGACTTCCAAGACAACAAAAAAGGGCCAATTCTTAGTAACAAGTATTGAAAGGAGTTTGAGTTTATCACAACATCCAGAAAAGATAAATCAGCATGCATAAATTTGCAAGGTATGTTGGTGGGATATTTCTATCGCATACGGTGGCCCTAAATGTGTACATACAACTTATATACAGAAAAAAATGCACACGTTATTATTGTTATTATTTATTTGACTTCAACAAACAAATTCAGACAGTAAAACAAAATTAATTTAAAACAATTAATTAATTTTTTTTCATGTTTTTTTTGGGTTTTTTGGTTGTTTTTTTAATTATCCTCTGGCCTACAGTACATTATTAATCACAACAAGAAGGGGGTGCACATGTGTGTGTATGTGTATACCATGTACCTATACGTGATGTTGGTAAAGCTGGTGCATACACTGTTGCTGTACATGCAGTTGAAAATGACGGCGCAGGTTGATTACTAATATGGATTTTGAAAAGTTGGCAGCTACATGTATGCATATGGTTGGACGGCTGCCCTTTTTAAAACATGTTTACATCATTTTTGTTTTTAATTTGGGGGCTAGTTTTTTAATAGCTTTTGTGGTGCAAGAAGACAAATTTGGATCGGAGACGTAGATGTTCCAAACCAGTGTTTGAAACCACATAAATCCAAGATTTTGCATGAAAGTTGTATCAAAGCACAAACTCAACTGGCATGGGCGTGCCCGCACATCGTGGCAGTCTGATGCAAATACCGGTACATGTGATACCAGTATTGAAATTGCTATTTTGACAAATAATCAGTGCCAAACGCACGCATGAAAGCATTATGATCATGCTGAAAAATTTGTCTCCTCTCTTGTAATGCAAAAGTGCTCCTCAAAAACACAAAAAAACTTTGCGCATTAACAAGATTGTGAACCTTCTCGAGATGGAAAACTATACCTCGAAAGCACAAATACATTTTACCCCTCTCGTAATAATAACATTGTGCCTCTCGAGATAGGAAGTTGGCCATCAAAAACAATAGTGCTCCTCTTGCGATAACTTATCGAGATGGAAAACTGCCCCTCGAAAGCACATTTACCGGTTGTGCTCCACTCGCGACATTAAAACTGGTCGCACGTCGCACATAGTGATTTGGAGATGTTCTTTTGCATGCAATCTATCGTTATCTTATCACGTGTCCCCAACGCTGTAATTAACCTACTTATTTTGTAAACATGGCAAAATACTATTGATTGCCCCAAGGGAACTGATAGAGCGAGCTATTTGAAATTGGACTTCAGCGGGCCGTGACTTGCGCAGTGCCTCCGGTAATGGTTTGACATTGCCAACCTCACAGGGGTGTGCCTCTCACAGATCGCAGCCTTCACTAACTGTCATGGCAGACATGTTACTCTGGCACTTGACTACCCACCACTCGCATAGTGGCGGGTTGGTGAGGCCCTGTGTGAGCATCATTCAAGTTCCATTAACATACTTGAGATGCTGGCAGTCTTGGAGAACTTCCGATGTTATTTTCTAAAATCAGTGATGTGCCAGATGATCCTGGTTCAATGTGACATTGACACGGTTGTGGTTTACATCGATGGCCAGGTGGGCACGCAGCCTGCATGCCTGTGTACTCTCACATGAGAAATCCCCCATTGGTGTTGTGGCGACAGTTTCATACTTTTGACTTTCCACCTCCCAAACAAGGAGAACGTCGCTTCTAACATCCTCCTTATGAATGGTGGTTCCTCTCGACGGTGGTAGCTGCTAAGCAACTAACCATGTCAATCTGCTTGTTTCAAGGATTAGTCACAGATTTCTGGTCTACTGCGCAATGGTTCCTGATCCCTGTACGTGGCAGACGAATACACTGATGATGGAGACAAACGGGCTGCCTGTTTACACCTTCCCGCCATTTCCTCTTATCCCTCGGGTTCTGAATCAATTGGAACAGAAGGATGACAAGGTCCTCCTTTTAACTCCCTGTTGGGCCCATTGATTGGTTTCCCTGGGCTATAACCATTTCCTTGGTTCACCAGTCCGTGGTACAGGTACTTCTGAGGAAAACAATATTCTGTTCCAGCGCAGCTTGGGTTTCCTTCACCTGGCTCCACAGGAAAATCTCCTGATGTGCTGGGTGCTGTCATGCAATCCCTCTGCACATCAGACCTTTCTCAAACCAGCTACGGCTTTTACATCCTGCACTTGGGGGACTTCTAACATGGCAGTAGATTACTTTATGTAAGACAGTTGAACTCCCATGTCAGTTAATTAAAGGGATGTTTGTTTTAACACCCCTGAAATATGGGACCTCTTCAACGCCTTTCCAAAAACGTACGTTATTGAGATTTTTATTGTTCTTTGAACCAGTGGACAATTTCACATTTGTTTCAATTGTCCCTGAGGTTGCCTTTTGTTACTTCTAGATATACATGTAGTAAAGAACTGTTTTCTGTATATTAGAGACGGACCACATCTGGTGGGAACCGAGTGTGCCCGTCAGATTCCCACAGAAGGATTTTGAACTAAGACTGTCGGGAGTCCTCTTTACCTCCGGAAGTCTTTGTTCCAGGCATCAAATCATTCTTGTCCGTCCCAGACAGATTAAGGTGCAAATCATGACTTTGACGTCTGATGCCTAAGGAAGAATTTTGAACTAAGACTGTCGGAGTGCTCTTTGCCTCCAGAAGTCTTTGTTCCGGGCATCAAATCATTCTTGTCCGTACCAGAATTTTGGTGCCAATTACGACTTTAACGTCGTACATTAGCTGCTCAGGGACACTTTGAATCGGTCACTTGCAGTTACATGTATTTGTCATGACAACCCTGCCATACGGACAGGCTTCTCGCGACACGTATTTGTCATGACAACCTGCCCTACTGGCAGGTTTCTCTTGACATGTTTTTGTCATGATGACAAAAAGGCCTGAAGGTCTGCCTGTATGGCCCTGCCATACAGGCAGACCTTTCATGTATTTATCACGAGGACCCCACCATACCGGTACCTGCAGGCTTTTCGCTACAAGATTGCCTGAAGATTGGTTATGGTCATCCATGAAACAACGGATATGTATCAACAGCAGAGACCATGTGATCGGCCCGCATGCACAAAATTAGGCGGAGCATGGGAGAGCAGTGTTGAGGGCGACTGACTAAGCCCCACCATGTTCTCAATACCTTTTCAGACCGTGAGACCTCCCCAGAATTGGTGTCTCCTAACTCTAATTCTTTTATTAAACTCTGTACATATAATAGTGTCTATATGTACTATGTCATAATGCTTTGCCTTTCATGATAAGTTTTTGTGCCCCTGCCACCGAACTCTTACGTTTATTTACCGGTTGGCTGTAATTCATTACGCGTGATTCCCCATATTGGGGACTGTGTCTCGGTCAGCATGTTAATAAGGCTACTCAATTTTATCACTAAATGGTCAAATTATTTATAAGCAGCAAAATTTGCAATGGATCTTCTCCTATTTGTTACTTTATATGTGTTGTGCAAAATGAAGGCTAACTCCATGCAAACATTTCACTGTGAATGCATTACATACTGTACTTACTTACGGAGAACTTTGTACATGAAACCCCATAGACAATTTTGTGACAAAAGTGGGATCCTGTAAACAGGAGAATAGCCAATCAACAGCCACAAATTTTAACCAATTGCTACATAAGGCTTGGAGGGGCAACCAGCCAATAAGAGTTCTTGTTATGCGACACTTGGCAAGGCCTGGCTATGGGCCAATGAGAAGTAGGGTTGGTTCTTTACATCCTAGAGGTAGAAAGTTTAGGCGGGAAGGAAAAATTGCTATGCAGTCACGTTTGTCTCAAGAAACAACTTGTATGGTCAATTTTACCTCACAAATTTTAATTCTCCGCCACCTTCCCCTCCTCCTCCATTCCTTCTACAATATTCGAAGCGGATAAAACACCCCATTGTTCATTAACGATATTTTACTCCTGCCATTACGATTTTGTAAATAATACTAAGGTTAGACAAAGCACAGTGTGCAACATTATACAGGGTTTTTCCTTAGCGGTCGCCCGCTCGCCAAATGCGAGTGAAAACAGCGGCGGGCGAGTCAAAACCCTCCTCTCAGTAGTCCGACGGGCGAGTCAAAAAACTGTTAAAAAAAAATAAAAATAACGAAGTTTTCCCTACAGTATTTTTCAATCAATCAAAATAAAAAGTTAAGGGTGATACAACACATGAATACTTTTGCCACGCCGACCGAAATAAAAACATCGGTAGTTCGAATTCGTGTCACTCCATGTATATTCGCAGTGCGCTGTGCATTGAAATCCCAACGACGAACATGAGGCGAATTTGCCATTACACATTGTGCACACATGCAGCGCACGTGATTTACTTCGTCTGCAGTCCACACGGTACGGACGTTACGTGTACGTTAACATCGTATTCGTATCATACAAC